GATGTGATGGCTGTGTTGATTAATCTTCTTGTGGTAGTCATTCTGCAATATATATATATATATATATATATATATCAAATCATTACATTGTACATATTAGATTTATACAGTATTATGTGTTAATTATATCTTAGTAAAGCTGGAAAAAATCCAACAATATTTTTGCTCCATAAAATAATAAAATGTAATATATTTTATAATGAATAAATATAATAAAATGCAATAATAATATGTAATGGAATAGTTTAAACACTACAACTAAATCCTCCAAACTAAAAAACTCCACTATACATGAAAGAAAAACTAATAGGACTGTAAAGATATATAAATCTAGAATTACAGTTGATTATTTCAACACCCTTCTCTCTGTAATTGACAGAACAAAGAGAAAATCAGTAAGCGTATTGAAGACCTGAATACCACTATCAAGCAATTGGAACAAATTGGTATTTATAGTGTGCTCTATCCCCAAACAATGGAGTACAAATTCTTTTCAAGTGCGTGTGGAATATTCATCAAGACAGACCACATTCTGGGCAGTAAAACGATCTCAAATAAATTTTAAAGGATTGAAATCACAAAGAGTATATTTTCTCAACAGAACCCAAGTGAACTAGAAATCAAAACCAAAAATATATATGTAGAATCCCCACGTTTGGAAATTAAACAAAAGAGAAGAAATCACATGGAAAATTTAAAAATATCTTGAAGTGCATAAAAATAAAAACGTACCAACATTTGTGTGATGTAGCTAAAGTGTTGAGAGAGGAATTTATAGATTGAACACTTTTATTAGGAAAGAACAAGGGTCTGAATCAATGATATAAGGTTCTACCTTAAGAGACTAGGAAAAGAAAACTTAATTAGAAGAAAATAAAAAAGAAGTGTGAAAATAAATTATACTTAATAAAATTTAGATTACTATTAAAACCAGATCTAGACACGCTAGGTTACTTAAATTGAATAAAACTGAACCATTCAGTTTATATCACCAAAAACCAAAGACAAACAAAAAACATAATGTGGTTTTCATGAAAATGAGAAAGCAGTGAGTCATGTTGTCTGTATTCATTCTCTGTCAACACTACATTACAATAAGATACCATTACTTTCTTCACAGGGCAATTATAAAGTTAGCTTTTCAATTTTTACAGACTTCCCAAAGGCTTCTCTTAAATATTCCACAACAAAATTATTATTTTTAAAGCACCCATATATCATATATATATATTTACATTTTGTATTACATTTGTTAACTAATTTAACAAATTAGATTTCTGTGTAAATTGAGGAGTTCCCCAATGTTACTTTCACTAACAATGAGATCCTCTAACTTTTTCAAGATCTATACTTAGTCTCTGCAATCCATTTGTACTAAATTTGCATTAGATTGCTGCAATCCAACAATCATCCAGAGATTTTCTACAAAAACTTTGCTGATATGGGTAGAGATAGACGCTAAAGCAGAGAATGTTGTTTGGAGTCAGATGTTGGGAACTAGTTCCATAAATGTTCAATATATTTGTGTATATTTTCCTATTATACCAATCTTTGTTTTTCCATGCAGATTTGTAAGTGTGGGATCTCATAATAATAACAGCTTATTCATTCCTTGTAATACAGACCCAGAAGGTTTGAGTGACTTGACCCAGGGACACAGATCAAATGTTAGACAGCAAATCTAGGTATTCTTAATCTGTATTGTTTTTAAAACACCATGAGGCAGGAGAATGTAGATATGGTCTCAGACATTTCACTCCAATCCCAGAGTAATAGTTCTCTACTCCAAAGGCGACATAAAATTATTCCTTTATTTCTCTCTTGAATAATGCATAAATTCGACTAATTTATGATATGATATATATTTTTATTACAAATATAGGAAAATGGACTGTGGTTCTGATAATAAAAAAAGATTTCCTATCATCTTATTAAATACTGAATGGCTTATAAAGTAATATTTAGAATATCTTTTATGTTTTTGAAAAATTAGTTGTTGACACTTTTAGTATATTAGAGTTAACATTCTGTTGCAATATGTATAGTGAACATGATGGTTTCTTGCAACATCTCACTGTCCCTAAGAGGGGCATGGTAACATCAAATTGCTACTCTTTCTACTTGTGACCATGCTTTGTAGTAAATAAAGTACATTGAACTTTACAGTCAGAAGCTAGGATTCATGTCTGAATTCTGACTCATTAACCATAGCTTGAGATAAATCATTATCTTTTCAGGTCCTAGCTTCTTCACTTGTAAAATAATGATGAAAGCAGGTGACTTCAAAAGCTCCTTCACCTTCCTTGATCATGCCATTACATAATTCATTTTCTGAATTTAAAAAAGGCACATAAGGAAGGAACCACCTCATACATATGTGTAAAGTAAATTGAGTATAAATTGATTCACCCTTTTGGTTTTGATAGGACAGTATCTAAATGTGCATACTCTCTGAGCCAGCAATTCCATTTCAAGGATCCTAACCTACTGCAATATTCCCACAAGAGCATGAGAAAGTATGTGCAAAGAGAATTACCATAGCATTATTTGTAACAGTAAAGGACTGGAGGTAACCTAAATATCCATAAGTAGGGTAGCAATGATCATGTTATCCATATTCTAGAATACTGTGAGGTAGAATTACATGGAAATTATCCATGAACAATATATGAGTGTATCTGAAAAAGATTACATTGAAGAATTCTATATTATAGATTCGTTTAACTTCATTTAAAAATTAAGGTTCATAATTTCAGTGTATAGATTTTAAATATATATATGCATACATATACATGCACATATATATGAATATATACTTTTATAAGTATGTATGTGTGTCTCTATATATTCTTTCAGTAATTTATGTACTTGAGGTTAACCAGAATTTTATATCTAAAATAAGGACTTCTGTCTAAATAGCACCTTTTTTTCTAGTTAGTGAACCCTTAAGATGTTGATCCATTCTTTTCCTAAATATGCCACGTGAAAATTTTTTAAAAATAATGCATTTTAAGTGCCTGTCCAGAGCAAATACACAAAGTGAAAGTGTTGTACAAAATGTCAACAGTAGATGGTGCACACTTGTTCTTTTTAAACCAGCTTTGCTGTTTGAAGAAAATGAACGACCAACCAAATTAACGTACAGTCTATCTAAGTCATGAACAATTTAACAAATGAGAATTCTTAAGAAGTAACCAAAGAAATCAATAATCCCAATCTAATTTCTTATAAGTGATCCTCTACTGATGTAGAGATTGGTTTCAGAATTGAGCAAAGACAATAGCAACAACAACAGAATTCCAAAGTTTTCATTAGTACACTATAAAAATTAATGGAAGAATGCTTGTCAGAAGTCAGCTGAATGTCATTAAAGAGAAAGGAGTCTATGGTACATTGAGAGACCCAGGTGAGTATGACAAGATTATCAGGTCTAAGGTAGAGGATACTGGAGAAAGATGGGAGAATATAACCAAAATTGGGGTGACTTTAATTCTATAGTTCACCTTTAACTATGGCCCTAGTTATTACAAAGGACCTCTGCTTCCAAAATAATGCTTTCCTTTTCAACCCAAAACTACTTCATTGAGAGAAGGGAAATGCAGAAGTGGTTTCAAACATAACTACAACCTGACTTTCATGGGTAGCTATATTCCTTTTTAAAATTTGCTCCTGGGGCTCCACGCAATAATTCCTAAAACAAAATTTCTGAAGATGGAGTCAAGGACCATGATGAATCAGTGGGTCTTTCAATAAATCATAGTCATCCATGAATTCATGAATTGAAGCTTTTCTAAAACTCTTCAATGAGCTGCCTCATTCATTTATAAATATCCTTCTTATAATTATAAAAATGTAGCTTTTAAATTATGAATTGACCAACTATATACTAATAATTATCATGATAAATCAACCTAGAAGAGCCACAGGGCCAAAGGAAATTTTAAAAACTTAAATATTCAATTTATCTACATTCTTACTGCAGAAGTATGTTTACTTAAGCAACAAAAATATGATTAGTTCAAATGTGAAAAAACACATTGAATTTTGATAAATTCTACAGGTTGAAAAGGACAGAAATACAGTTCAAGTAGAAAAATAATGTAAAATTTCCAACTGCTAATGAAAGCTTGTTTGTATATCTTTCCAATATATGAGATTGGTATCAAAAACTGGTATTTCAATTCCAGTAGACATGTTTAAAGAGTTACACTAATTTTAAAATGTCAACATATGCAATATGTTAGAAATTAGAGCCTTGCAACTATTTAAACTTTTGATGAAACTATTTCAATGCCAAATTTAAAATGCCTGAGTGGGTATATGGTTTTCAAATTGCTTTTAGAATTCTTGTAGACCATTGCCCTGAACTACAAGTTTACAGGAGACAAAGGGGTTGGCTAGTCTGTGCCCTAAAGCAAATGCTCTCCTTCCACAGTCATCTCTTCAGAGCACAGACACATATTCCCTAATGCTAAGATTCTTCAGAGAATTATAGCTCCAAGAAAAAATAAATTATGTTTGGAAATAATCCTGTTTTAGAGACAGCATATAATAACTAAGGGTTTTTAAAAATTTATTCATTTTCATGAGAAGTTCAAAAATCTGATTTTTAAGTGCATTCATTGTTAGAACTGCTGGTAGAGCTCCCTTATTTGCCAATGAATTTTGAAGTTTTTCCAATGATCACCTGATACATGATATCAGAATGAATACCCATTTTTACATGGGTCTACACAAATTTGAAAGTAGGTAGGAGGGTTTCATTCATAAATACTTTAATAGACTGTTTCTAAGCCAAATTCTATTTATTTGGCGTTTCAGATATGTGAGGTGGTCCCTGCCTTGACTCCTCCTATGCTAGTGATAATTGAGTGTTCAAGCAACTTTGTAATTTGTAAACCCATTACCTAATTCATCTTTAAAAACTACATGTAATGACTTGAGAATATTTTAATTTGATCATTAGCCACATGGCAAATTTCCTGAGCAATAATACTTACCCTCTGTTACATTTTGCTATTTCATCAAACAGAAGTTTCCACCGAGGCCGTCCAATAAAAAGTCTTGAATTCAGTGCTTGATATTTTTCTCCAATTATCTTCTGCCAAAAAGAAAGCACTATATTTTATATGACACAGAGTTGGATGAACAACCTATTTTTCTAACATCATTTCTACTGGTGCTGTGGCTTCCTACCAAATTGCTGTGGTATCAAGAATACAAGTATCAAATGGCAAGCTATTAAGTACAGTCATTTTGAAGCATCATTTCCTTCCTCTTTTCCTTTAAAATCCATTATTTTCTTGAATGCCATTGTTATAAATAGCTGATTTTCCTTCAGTTGGTTGCTTTGTTTTTAACAACTGCAATATTAAAGCATGCATTTTAATTACCTACTCTCAAAACGGCGGCAGCACATAAATTTATTGAAGTGTTTTGGCACTGCAAATACTGTCTTCATATTTGGCTCATTATATGAGTAAAATACTACAAATTGTCATCATAAATTTGGGGAAGTGATCCTAGACAAGACAGCCCGAGCCAGAAGAGCTCCAGATCTTGGGTCTGTCAACAAATAACTTCTAATGGGCTGGTGTTTGCAATGAACAGAAGATGAGATCTGGATCGTCAATGAAGGGCCCGAGGTGAGAGGAGAGGGGAAAGTGTCTGAGTCACAGGCAGACAAACTGAGAACCAATGCCACATATGCTCCACACCTTCATCACATCCATACCATGAGGAATAATGATACTGACTTGCTTCGTGCGAATAGTAAAATGAAATATTTTTTTTACATACCAAGTGGAGCAGAAATCTGATAGAAAAAGTAGGGTTAGGTTAGTTTTGAAGTAACTGACAAGCATTCGTATTTTGTATCCAAAGTGTTATAAAAAATGTATAATGGAAAATACTAAAATAAAACTCATGAAAGCATCCATGCCTGGATTTACACACCCACGTAGCCTTCAGTGTCATCGGTAAACATCAGTTTCTTCATCTATAACATGGGAATAGCACTATCATCTACCTGTTGGATCTGTTAGAATTACACAATATAATATGAAGTGCTTAACACACAGTGTCTAGCGCAGCAAATAAATAATGTGTGATGGCTATTACTACATTTTTAGTTTCCTGTGGAGAGAAGAAATAAGCTTAACTACGTATGATCTTATCTTGTCTCTCCACATAAGAACTCCCCTCGACGAACACAATCATGAGACTGTTCGCTTCTGGTCCGATCTCTAGAGGTAAAGAATTTGAGACAACAGTGAAAAGGAGAGAGATGAACTCAAAGGTCTGTACCAGCTTCCTGTGAGGAGGACAAATGAAAGGCATAACACAGTTGGCTTCCAGGACAAGCCATGGGTTTTCTGGACACACTCTAAAAGAGGCCTTCCTCTGGGAAACTTCTCTTCAAACCACCTGCAGAAATTTTCCTCCAGCACAGCCCCGATAGAAAATCTTCTATTATCAAGAGGCTTGTTTAATTTATGAAAACATCCAACCACATACCTGTATCCCATCTGTTTGACTGAGGTACAGCTGGATGTTGACATAGTCAGGTCTGTTTTCTTGCCAAAACTGAGAGGACATAAAAGTAAACAGACGTGAGCATTCTCTCTGTAGACTGAGACTTTCTCCTCTTCTAACATATGTGATTCCACAATTTAAGATGTATCTGGTCTAATCACAGTCAACATTTACAAGCAATACACATGCCAGATTCTAGCATTAAGAATCCGTCCTCCTTGTACAATTAGTGTAAGCAGCAGCAGTAGTAGTGATAAGGAAATAGTAGATGTGTGGTAGTAGTAAGAGAATAATTCTGTTATTTTTACAGATACAGAATCAAGCATGCTAAATACTACACTGATATTCCGCTAAATCCTTCCATTTATCTCTTATTTTATTCCCTGAGTCCCTAAATTATAGCCAAGAGTTCACTCATAAAGAACATGATTTTCTTAAAAAACAGTAACACACAAATAGTGATATATAATATGCATGCTAGGAATCAACGAAATGAAAACAAACAAGACAAAAACAAAAGGCTCTGTTCCTGTTCCTTGCCTTCCTCCTACTCAGCACTGGTTTTCCTTGTACAAAACTGTGTGAGGCAGGAAGTATACCTGCCAAAGAAAAAATAGTCTGGGAAAGATCTCAAACATTTCAATACCTTGAAAAGAAAAATATCATCTGAAGGAAAATAAACCCAACAAAGAGGGTAAAAGTGTTGTTGTCCTTGTATGCTTCCTTTTGCCTTCTTCATTTTCATTCAAAAATGAACCTACTAATAATTGACCTGACTCTGACTGAGTCCAGAAATCTATTCTTTTAAAAATATTTTTGCACCTGAAACTAATGTTACACTGTAAGTTAATTAACTGGAATTTAAATAAAAACTTAAATGAAAAAAAATATTTAAAAAATTAAAAAAATATTTTAAAAACATAGAAATACGATTTGAAATATTTAAAAATTTTTAAATAATTATTAAAATAATTTTTTATTCTTAAAAGTATTCTTCTTAGGGCCGACTTTCACCACCCTGAAATAAGAAGCTGAAAGATAAGGACCAGGCACCAAAAGCGGAAGAAGAAAAGGAGAGTAATACAAGAGCATGGTGGACAGGTGTGGATATGAGTGTCTGAGGTGACAGAACTGGCACTTCTTCAAAAGCCACACCATTTCTTTTTTTTTTTTTTTAAAGATTTTATTTATTTATTTGACAGAGAGACAGAGAGAGAGAGAGAGCACAAGCAGGGGGAGCAGCAGGCAGAGGAAGAAGCAGGCTCCCTGCTGAACAAAGAGCCCAGTGCAGGGCTCAATCCCAGGACCCTGGAATCATGACCTGAGCCAAAGGCAGATGCTTCACTGACTGAGCCACCCAGGTGTCCCAGTCAAACCATTTCTTGAGCGTAAATCGGCATAGTGGGTTCGCTTGAGATGGTAAGGTTTTGCTGGACTTTATTGCAGCAAGAGGATCAACTGATTTAAAGTACTGTTTCTATATAGTATAATGATGTGTAGAGCAGCATTATCTAAAATAGCCAAATTACATAAACAGCCCAAGTGTCCATTGACTGATGAATAAAGATGTGAGATACACACACACACACACACACACACACACACACACACACACACAATGAATATCACTCAGCCATCAGAAAGAATGAAAGTTTGCAATTTGCAGTGACATGGATGGAGCTAGAGAGTATAATGCTAAGTGAAATAAGTCAGTTAGAGAAAGACAAATACCATATGATTTCACTCATATGTGGAATTTAAGAAACAAAACAAATGAGCAAAGGGGAAAAAAGAGAGAGAGAGAGACCAACTAAGACTCTTAGCTTCAGGGAATATGCTAATGGATACCAGAGGGGAGGTGGGCACTGGGATGGGTGAAATAGGGGATGGGGATGAAGGAATGCACTTGTGATGAGCACTGGGTGATGTATGGAAGTATTGAGTCACTAAATTGTACACCAGAAACTAATATTACATTGTATGTTAACTAACTGGAATTTAAATAAAAACTGAAAAATAAAGTAAAATAAAATAAAAACTTAAAAATGACATATTGGGACTCAAAGTAGAAGTTTCAGGAATGCAAATAAAGTCACATTGCAAATGGGGGGGCGTGATTAAGGAGGGTTTCATCAGCCCTCTGAGATGCCTTACAATGAATGGTAAGAGCACCTGGCAGGTAACTGACTTGTTTCTATTGCCAACACTATCTGGCCCTGAGACTTCTAAGGAATTACTGACTCATCTAGGCCTGTTTTTTCATCAGGACAGTGACAGATAGAGTTGAATGTCATCATCCCTCAGGTCTCTTTTCAGATCTAAAATGATACATTTTCTGACAGGTGGAAACTCTGGATATAAAATCCCAATAAAAACATATTTTACTTTAAGAGTGATGTGATGATTCTCAGCTCCATAATATTCTTAAAATATAGTCATTAATTATATCCCATTAAATAGCTGCCTCAAGTTATATCCAAATGCTAAATTCATTTTTAGGCCCTTTCTGAATTGAATCAGGGTTTATAAATTTTAATTGTGAAGAAATAGAAACTTCTGGATGCCACTAAAGCACCTCACAAAACACAAGGCTTGTGTTGAGTCTTGTCTTAAATGTCTACCAGGATGCTGTTCTGAGATCAGTCCTATGACTCCCGCATCGATAACTGTGTTTGGTGCCCACGGCCCCAAGTAAGAACTATGCAAATTTGGATAATGTTTTTAATGATTTTGATGTCTCCACTTTAACTTACCCGTCACTGAAGACAATAATATCTAATAAAGGCACAGTATTCTCCAAATAAAGGAACAGTGAAAAAATAGACATGTGGATCAACACAATCTTGCAAATAGATTAGGATTGTAGGATCATGCACAAATATCATGTTTTTCACTTTTATGTCTCCTGCCTGTATTCGTCCTTATTTTTCTCACAAATAAAAAATAACAAGATGTGAGTCTTGGAAGGAATTTTACAGATCACTAATAGGAATCATAGCAATCATTTATTAAATGCCTTCAAAACGATAGATACTTTAGGTATGTTAAAGCTAAGTCTCACATCAGGTTTCAAGTGCTGTTAGCCTCCTTTACAAATTGAAAGCATAAATTGGGTTTATGGAGGTTAAGTGATTTACCCAAGGACTTGCGGTTCATATGAGGTAGAATCACTGTTCCACCGTAAATGACAGACCCCAAATGCCTGATGGAGCCCTGATCCTCCATTTTGATTTTACTAATATGACTTATAGAGGTGAAGTGACTTGAGGCAAGTCATGTCGTTAGATATTGGCAGAGCTGGTACCAGATCACCTGACACCTGGCCCTGCACTCTTCCATCACCAGATTGGGCAATCTGGCCAAGCAAAATCCACCTAAGATCCATTTTTATCATCACTGAAGATAGTCTGACACCAAGACAAGTGACTAGGGCAACTAAGATAGCTTTCTCCTAGGCATTCTAGAATGATGTGAAAGAACTCATAGTTGGAACAAGATTGAAAGACTGCATTTTCATCTGGTTTTCAAAAACACTTTCAGCTACTCTTACACAGACTCTATGTAAAGACCCTATGCTCTATTGCTATTGATTTCTCTCTCTCTCTCTCTTTCTTGCTCTCTCTCTCTCTCTCTCACACACACACACACACACCAAACTTGGTAACACAGTTGCGAACACATCATCCTCAGAGACACAACTGAAGGACCTGTGTTCATCCCTCTGTTGCGAAAAATCAAAACATAGATGCAGAGGTGTGTGTAGAAGATAATCATCACTGTATTGTTTACACTAGTTTTAAGCTTTTATGTTATTTACTCCATGGAATCCTAAGGGTAAAGCACATCCATCAAAAAAACTTGAAATGGAAAGAAAACATAAAACTTAAGATTCAACTCCTTTGAGGGTCCAGTAATTTAACATTCTTTTCTTTCCTTTATTCCTTTCTTTCCCCCACTCCTTGCCTTATAAAGCATCTGTTATTCAAATGTGCCTGTCCATATCTTGGATCATTTTACTTAAAAAAAATGTACAGGTTCTATATCTCAGTTCAAGAAAGATTAAAAATTAGAAAAATAAAGGTAGAATTAGGAAATCCCAAAAGCAATACAACTGGTCACCAATCACAAAAGAGAGGTTCAATCTCACTAGCATTTAGGAGAAAAGAGAATGAGATCTCACTGTTTAAGACATTGGTAGAAATTTAAAAAAAAATTGATAATATAACATTTTAGAATAAATGTCTCTCATACTTTTTGGTGGAAATGTAAATTGTTTTTTTAAAAGATTTTATTTATTTATTGAGAGAGAGAGAGAGCACAAACAGGGGGAGCAGCAGGCAGAGAGAGAGGGAGAAGCAGGCTCCCCACTGAACAAAGAGCCCGATGCAGGGCTCAATCCCAGTACCCTGGAATCATAACCTGAGCTGAAGGAAGATGCTTAACCAACTGAGCCACGCAGGCACCCCTATCTTCCCCACTTAGGATGTAAATCACATGAGATCAAGAAATTGCTTTTAATTTTGTTCTCCAATGTAGCTCCAGGTCCTAGAATAGTTTGTGATTCATAGTAGGCAATGAGTGATTATTTGATGAGTGACAGAATGACAGACTGAATAAATGGATCTGAATAAAAAGACATGTATGATATTCATTGGAGTGTTAAGATTTTATTTATTTATTTATTTAGAGAGTGCATGAGCAGGGGGAGGGGCAGAGGGAGATGGGGAGAGAGAATCTCCAAGAGACTCCACACTCAGCATGGAGTCTCATGTGGGGCTCGATCCCAGGGCCCTGAGATCATGACCTGAGCTGAAATCAAGAGTTGAGTACTTAACTGACTGAGCCACCCAGGGGCCCCATCATTATAGTGTTCTTTGTAATAAAAAGTAAATAACCATTATTAAGGGATGGCTAAATAGAGTACTAAGTACATCCACATGACAAAATATCTATAGCACTAAAAAGAATGAGGCAACTCTATATATACTATTATTAAAAATGTTCAAGACATAGTGTTAAGTTTAAAATAAGTAATTCCTGAGGCGGAGCAA